TGGACAGTGATGTAAAAGAACTGGTTTAAAATAACTATTCACACCCAGCCGGTGTGGCTCATTGGTTGAGCATCGACCCATACACTAAGAGGTTGCCAGTTCAATTCCCAGTCAGGGCACATGCCCAGCTTGTGGGCCAAATCCCCAGTAGGAGGTGTGCAGGAGGCGGCCAATCGATGTTCTCGCTCATCAATGTTTCTATCTCTCTCTCCCTCTCCCTTCCTCTCTCTAAAATCAATAAAGAAAAAAAGTTTAACTATTCACCTCTTAGTCCCTATCCATGCAGTGTCCTCTGTGGGAACATCCTCTTCATCCCACCTCCCTATCGGGCAAATTTCACACATCCTTAAAGGCACCTCAAGCATTCCTTCTGCAACACCTCCAATTGCCCCTTGCACACAATGACATTCTACCAACAGTCCTACTCTAGTCTTATGTGTCTGTTCATTATTTGCCCATGAGAATTTGAGCTCCTAGAGTTGAGAACCTTGCCTTTTCATTTGTGTACTTAGGTCTCTAACACAGTACCTACCACACAGCAAATATAAGGTCAATATTTTTTTCTTGAAATAGTTGTAGAGTAGCATTAAGATTCTTAGTTTGCAACTTCTATCTTTCCCAGCAGATCTGTATCAAGATCTACATTATAACTTTCAACTTCATAATTTCAATTTGTTTCCATAGTAACAAGACAAAGTGCTTTTTATAATACTGAGAAAAGCAAGCTAAAACTTAAGGTGCAACCCACTGAAATACTTCACAATCATATGCTTTTGTTCTAATAAAAAGACAGAATGACAGCATTTAACTTTCTGTAACTTCCTCTCTTTAAGAACACTCTAACTTTACCACTAAGAATAAACCAAACTTATTTTTTCAAACATAATTCAGACCATAATTTCCATTAATAAAAGAATAGCATGTCAGCTGATTTCTCAAGAGAAACTCTGCAGGCCAGAAGAGAGTGGCAAGAAATATTCAAAGTGATGAAAAGCAAGAACCTCCAACCAATCTTACTCTATCCTGCAAAGCTATCATTTAGAATCAATGGACATACAGTTTTCCAGACAAGAAAAAGCTAAAGAAGTTCATCACCACCAAACCAGTATTATATGAAATACTGAAGGATCTTCTTGAATAAGAAAAATATGAAAAATAAAATGGAAATAAATACATATCTATCAACAATTGAATCTACAAACCAAATGAACAAGCAGAACAGAAACAGACTCATAGATATAGAGAACTTTTTGTTGGTTACCAGACGGGAGGGAGGTTGGTGGGATGGGTGAAAAAGGTGAAGGAATTAAGAAGCACAAATTGGTCATTAGACTGAAGAACTTAGAAGGGAAAGGGGATGGGGGTGGAGGGGGCAGAAAGAGATAAACCAAAGAACTTATATGCATATATGCATATATGCATAACCAATGGACATAGACAATAGTGTGAGGAATCCAGGAGGGGGGCAGGAGTAGGGAGGAGGGGGTCAATGGGGGAAATAAAGGGGAGACATCTGTAATACATTCAACAATAAAGATAAATTTATTAAATAAATAAATAAAAGGGCAGCATCTTATTTCTTCACAAATCTAAAATGTTTATAAGAGAACATCTAGTGAAGCCATAGCTATATTTCAGACTCTGACAGACCAAAAGATATTTTTTAAGTAAACATCAATCCTTTGACAACTGACCTTTTAAGAAAGATGTCATGGAGAATTCTATTAGAAAGAGAATACAGCCCTGGCCGATTTGGCTCAGAGGTTAGAGTGTTGGCCTGCGGACCAATGAGTCAGTCACGTGTATGATTCTGGTCAAGGGCACGTACCTCAGTTGTGGTTTGTCCCTGGTCGGATCGTGTGGGATATCACGTCGATGTTTCTCTCTGTCTCTCTCTCTCTCCCTCCCTCCCTTACACTCTATCTGATAGTAAGTGGAAAAATATCCTTGGGTGAGGAATTAAAAAGAAAAAAAGAAAGAGAATACAGGAGAGACCTCTCTGGGCTAATTTAAAATACAGCCTAGATTAGGCAAGGGGGCTACTGTAAGACAATTTCTCAAGGCTTCTTCTAGCTTAGTAATTTTGACTCAAAAGAAAGGAAAAATGGGTTCAATTTTTCCACTCTTAATTAGGCTCCTTACCTTTCTGAAAGTTTGCTGATTTCCATGATATTAAATTTCAATTTCTGGGCATTTGTTTACATCTTTCTTTAAAAAAAAAAAAAAAAAAGGTTGTCTCTTTCCTTCCATCCACTCCCTCCACCCCTAACTACAAGACCCACTGAACCTAGACAGGCCTAAGTTCTTATAAGGATAACAAAGTAGAAATATAAATATGCCTCAGTTCAAGGGAAGGCTAACTACGCTTAGCTATAAGCTCTTCAGCATGGAAGCCAATGAAACAAAGATGGTGATCACACATCCTAACTGAGAAAGCTACCCAGTGAAAATGGACTGGGGCACCTAATTCTGAATTAATTAAATCCTACAAGAAAAGATCTCATCTTAAATTTACTGAGTCTCTCAAAGCTTACATTAAAAACACAAAAAACAAACAAACAAAAAAAACCTGTCTTTCTCTATGTTATCCTGCTGAGAGTAAAATATCAGACATCCATCTACTTTCTGAGCCTTACTTATCATGTTCACTCATCAGCATCTCTGCTGCTTCTGAGAAGTATCTGAGGAACATGAATTTCAGGAATAAATTAGTAGAATATCAGAAAGTCTCTATGAGAAATTCTAAGAAATAGTGAAAAAGGGAAGAATGAGCAAATATACTCAGCCCAGACATTCAAACAAATCAGGTCTTCATAGGTGCCTCCCTATCTGAATAAACAGGTAATGTTCAGTCTTTCTGGCTAAACTTTGGTTCAGGACCCCACACCTAAACACTCTCTACTCTGTACCATAAGTATAGTATAGCATTACAAATGGATGTCAAAATTAAGTTGTTTTTCTTTTTTCCATTCTGGTTCAAGAACCCACTTTGAAAAAATATTGTCAACTATTAACTAAGTCAATTATATGTTAATCCAGGTCACATCATTATGTGGTTTCATTTTTTTTCTTCCAATATTAGCCAATAATAAATCATGGGTTCTATGCCTCAGCATCCAGAGACCAGGCACAAACCTGTAGGGAAGTTAATCATTCACCTGACAGAGTACAACAGGGCTTTAATTCTCTATATTATTATTCTATAGTGCTGAAAATAGAAGCAGGGGCTCGCTGCCTCTTTAAAAGTGCTATTCTTTCAATTTTGATAATTTCCAATTCAACACCTAATTTACTACAGCTTTGTTGGATTGGCTTGGTGAAGGCACTGAAAGCAGACTCTGTTTGTAGCCACTGGTCTGTGTGCTTAAATGCAAAAATGTAGCTATATCACTGCAAGATTCTGCAGTGATCACAGCAGTGGAAAAAGGAATCAACAGATGTATGGGGGAATTCTGCAAGGGTCCCTGGATCCACTAAGCACTGAGCACTACCACAAAAGGTGTCAATGACACTAAGAAAACCCCTGAGTTCACTCTTGTAGCTTAAGCAGTTCCTTCGTGAAAAAACAAGAGGCTGGAATATGGAAAAGGAAATATCTTTGTTAGATAAATAGTACATTCTTATTCTCTGAACAGAATGCATCCAACTCAAGGCTTCCTATACAACAGAATTTCCCTGAGCACCTTTAATTAGGAGTTCTGCTGAGTGCTGGGATATGGAGATAAGTAAGACCAATTCCCTGACTTTAAGATTTGTTAGGAAGACAGACAAGAAAACAGATAACCACAATGCAGTGTGGTAAAAAATACTAGACAGTAAGGTGTTATGGAAGCAATGGGGGATAGGGGAGAATGGGGACTTTAACACAACTGGGCAAGAGGATCAGCAAAGGGACCCCAGAGGAAATAAGGAATGCAGCTAAACCTTAAAGAATAAAATAGAGAAAGGGTAGAGAGGTGAGGAGGGAAGGAGGGAGGGAGGGAGCAATCCAGGCAGAGGGAGCTGATACAAAAATGACCTCTCTACTTCAAGACTTTTTATCACTCAACATTCTCCACCTCCTATCCTCCTGTAACCTGAAAGCTTAAGCAACAGGAAGCCCCCAAATAGAGGAAAATGCACACAATCCAAGTACCTATCTTACAGTGTGTGACTATTACATAAACTTCAAGACTTGTGACAAGAGAGAAAGCAACATTGGTGTTAGCACATATTGTTTGCTGGACACATCATTACATAGCTGGAGGCTAAACAAAACTGAAATGCCAACGGTTTAAAAGCAACGATAAAGCGTGGAAATTCAGCTGCATTTGTTCAATTAGAAAAAAACTTTTGTATAATTCTAAAAGTAGATGGAGTGGATGAGGTGGAATTACTTTAGGAAACAAAAACTCTAAATTAAAGCTTCTTATCTGCACATAGGATCCTTAATTATTTCCTTGAGTCCTTGAGAAGGGGAAAATGATTCCCTACCCAAAATAGTATTAAACATTTACTGAGTGATAGCTCACACATTTTCTTAGTTACTCCACAACCAGAATAAAAGTACCATTATTATCTCCATTTTACAGATGAAAGAGGTGAGGCTAAGTTCACAGTTACATTGGGTATAAGAGAAAGGCAGGGTTATATACAATGCAGGTTTTCTGACTGGTCTTGGCACTATCACAACCTAGCCGCTTAATCCCATTGTTATTTTCTCCTCTACAAAATCAAGAAATTGAAAATTTTATAATGTTGAAAAGCAAACTGTTAAACTGTTAAAGCTTGCTCTTTCAACCATAAATGTTTTTAAAAGGACCAGGTCCACGTTGTCATTATTATTATTATTACTGTTATTAAACTCAAATAATACACAAAGCCCCTGGCCCTCATGGCCATTTGAAAATAACTCCTCTGTTTTTCCCCCTTTTGTTTCTTCCCTACAATTGACCACCAGCCATACTGGTGCATCCCAGCAAACAGCTGTTATGTATTTTCAAAATCCCTAAATATAGTACCTTGATTCAGATTGGAGAGAAACTAAACCTTCTATTATGGATGCTGAGATGATGTTATTCCATTATGCTGGTTTCACTCCATTTGTACAATGATTATAGAATTAAGCCTTTAAAAAAAAAAAAACTTTTTAAAAAAGTTGTAACATGTTAAACAAGGAACAGTTTGTTAAATATTCATTACTAAGTGAGACTAAGTTTGCAGTGAAATACTGATGTAAATCTTTAAAACAATCCCCTACATTCCGCCCCCAGATTTTCCTCCTATTCAACATAATCCTGTCAGCAACACCTGCCACTACTGTTACAGCTACAGTTACCATGACCACAGCAAACAATCTTAATAGAAATAACAAGCAGATTTGGCAATTAAACCCAAGGGAACATTAGCTTTGTGCAGAATTACTTTTGGAATATTCTAACTCATTCTACAGAATACAGCAACCAAGAGGGAGATCTGTGGCCAGTGCAAAATAAACTTTAAGAACTAATACTTGGACTTGGTCTCATAGATTTATCCTAGACTTCAACAAAATAAGATCCCTGAGATATCAACTTTTCCAAGGAGCCCCGCTTATCCCACTCTTTATCGGCTGAGCCTCCTTCTTACTCAAGTTGCACTCTTCCTTGTCTTTACCATAGCATTTATTACACTAGAAGAACATAAGGATGTGCATTTTAACTGTTTGTCTCTCTGAGCCTCAATATCCTCAGTTGTCTTGGGGAAGAAATAGTTTAAATCAAAACCTTAAAAAAACCCCACAGTGTATAAAATTAGAAAAATTTAGCAAAACAAAAAAATAATTTAAATTATACACAATACAGGAAGCAGAAGGAAGGAAATAATGGAGATCAGAGCAGAAAATCAATGAAGTATAGAGAGAAGGAAATGAAAGAACCAAAAGTTATTGCTGCTGTTTTGAGAAGATAAATAAAATTGATAACCCTCCAACTGGGCTGAGCAGGAAAAAAAGAGAGAAGACACATAATACCATTATCAGGAATCAGAGAGGTGATATCACCACAGACTCTACAGATATGAAAAGGATAATAAGGAATTATTCTGAAAAACTTTACGCCAATAAATTCAATGGTTTAGAGGAAATGGAAAAATTCTTTGACACAAAGTACCAAAACACATTAAAAAACAACAGCTAACCTGAATAGTCATACCTATATTAAAAATTGAATCTGTAGTTTAAAATCATCCCTCAAAGAAAACTCTGGATTCAGATGGCCTTATTGGTGAATTCTAACAAACATTTAAGGGAAAAAATAGCACCAATTCTACACAAATTCTTCCAGAAAACTGAACAGAAGGAAACTCCAAACTTACCTATGAGGCCAGCATGAATCTCATACTAAAGCTAAACAAAGACATTATAAAAAGCTATTATGTCTTTATGAACACAGATGCAAACATTTTAAACAAAATTTAGTAAATAAAATCCAAAAATATATAAAAAGGATAATACATCATGACCAAGTGGGGTTCATCCCAGGAATGAAAGTCTGGTTTATCACTCAAAATACAATCAAAGTAATTTACCATATTAACAAACTAGTTAAAACCTTATGATCATCCTAATAAATGCAGGAAAATATTTAACAAAATCCAAAATCTGTTCCTGATTAAAACTCTGAGCAAACTAAGAACAGATGAGAATTTCCACAATCTGATAAAGGGAACACACACACACACACACACACACACACACACACACACACACAATCTACAGTTAATATCACACAATGGTGAAAAAGTAAATAGTTTCACTCCAGATGAGAAAAAAGAGAAAGATGTCCACTCTCACCATTTCTGTCCAGTATAGGAGAGGTCTGGTTGGTACAATAAGGCAAGGACAAGAAATAAAGTCACTCAGATGAGAAAGGAAGAAATAAACTGTCCTTATCCCAAAAAAATGACATGATCATTTATGTAGAAAATCCAATGAACTCTACAAAAAACCTATTAGAATAAGTGAGTTTAATAAAACTGCAGGACATAAGATTTATATACAAAACTGAATTGTATTTCCATGCTAATAATAAATAATTTTATACAAAAAAAAAATTTTTTTTTTTTAATCCTCACCCGAGGATATGTTTTTACATTTATCATCAGATAGAGCTGGAGGGTGGGAGGGAGAGAGAGAAACATTGATGTGAGAGAGAAACACCAACTGGTTGCCTCCCGCACGACCCCAGGGTCGGGGATGAACCACAACCAAGGTACGTGCCCTTGACCAGAATTGAACCCGCAACTCTTTGATCTACGGGCCGACACTCTAAGCACTGAGCCAAACTGGCCAGGGTATATTGAAATTTTAAAAAATATTAGCTATGCCCTGGCCAGTTTGGCTCAGTGGTTGAGCGTTGGCATGCGGACCAGAGAGTCCCGGGTTTGGTTCCCACTAGGGGCACATACCACCAAAAAAATAATATATATATATTAGCTATAATAATGCCAAAAATATGAACTACTTAGAGATAAATCTCACAAAAGATGTGCAAGATCTACTTAAAACATTGCTGAGAGAAATTAAAGACATAAATGGAGAAAAATAACATGGGTTGGAAGACTCAGTATTGTTAAGAAGTCAATTCTTTCCAAATTGAAACACTGTACAGATGCAAAATAATATCAAACTAAATCCCAGCAGGCTATTTTGTGTAAATTCATAAGCTGATTCTAAACTTCACACGGATATTCAAAGAACCTGGAATAGCCAAAACACCTGGGGAAAATAAAAGTTGGAAGGGCTAACTGACAAATTTCAAGACTTATTACAAAGTTGTAATAATAAGATAGTGATACAGTTTAGAGACAGACAAATAGATCAATGGAACAAAATAAGAGTCCAAAATAGACCTGCATATATGGACAATTGATTTTTTTTTTTTAATCCTCACCCGAGGACATTTTTCCATTTTTTGTTCAGATAGAGTGGGAGGGAGAGAGAGAAACATCGAGGTGAAAGGGACACATCGAGTGGTCGCCACCCACATGACCCAACCAGGGCCGGGGACAAACTGCAACTGAGGTACGTGCCCCTAGCGGGAACTGAACCCGGGTCTCCCCGGACTGCAGGCCAACGCTCTAACCGCTGAGCCAAACCGGCCAGGGCTGGACAACTGATTTTTGACAAAGGTGTAAAGGCAATTCAGGGAAGAGAGGGCAGTCATTTCAACAAATGGTGCTGGAATAACGAGATACCATATCCAAAAAATATGAACTTTGACCCACACCTTGCACCACACACAAAATTAAGTCAAAATGTATTGTATTCCTAAAATGTAATACCCAAAACCATAAAATTCTAGAAAAAAAAACACAGGAGATAATCTTTGTGATTTAGGACTAGGTTAAGCTTTCTTAAATATGATGCCGAAAGCATAACTCATAAAAGAACAAATTAATAAACTGAACTTCAAAAAAACTAAGAACTGCTTTTTGAAAGACACTGTTAAGAAAGTTATAAGACAAGTCAGACTGGGAGAAAATATTTGCATCATATATCTGATGAGGACTCTATATGCAGAATATATAAAGAATTCTCAAAACTCACCAAGAATAAAACAATAAATAAATAAATAAATAAACGTGTAAAAGATCTGACATTTCAGAGAGAATGGCAAATAAACGCATGAAAATATGCTTAACTCAGTCATTAGGAAAATGCAAATTAAAAACACAATAAGCTACCACTATGCACTTATTAGAATGGCTAAAATTAAAAAGATTTATCATACTAACTGTTGACAGATATGTGGAACAACTGGAACTTTCATGCATTGCTGGTTGGAAAAGTAAAAGGATACAAAAACTTGAAAATAACTTGCTAGTTTTTACAAAGTTAAACATACATCTACAATACGACCCAGTCATCCCATTCCTAGGTATTTGCCTAAGAGAAAAGAAAGCATACATCCATACAAAGGCTTGTATATAGGTAGGTGTTCGCAGCCACCGTTGCTCTCTAACGCCAGTGCAGCTTCCAGCTCGTGGAAGGAGAAGGGGGGTAAGTAAAGAGGTCTCTATACCATGGCTCTACAAAGCAGACTGCCCGCAAATCCACCGGTGGTAAAGCACCGAGGAAACAACTGGCTACCAAAGCGGCTCGCAAGAGTGCGCCCTCTACTGGAGGGGTGAAGAAACCTCATCGTTACATGCCTGGTACCATGGCACTTCGTGAAATTAGAATTATCAGAAGTCCACTGAACTTCTGATTTGCAAACTTCCCTTCCAGCATCTGGTGCGAGAAATTGCTCAGGACTTCAAAACAGATCTGCGCTTCCAGAGTGCAGTTATTGGTGCTTTGCAGGAGACAAGTGAGGCCTATCTGGTTGGCCTTTTTGAAGACACCAACCTGTGTACTATCCATGCCAAATGTGTAACAATTATGCCAAAAGACATCCAGCTAGCACACTGCATACGTGGAGAACGTGCTTAAGAATCCACTATGATGGGAAACATTTCATTCTTTTAAAAAAAAAATTGTCTTCTTCCTGTTATTGGTAGTTCAAAAGGTACCTAAGTATATGATTGCAAGTTGAAAATAGGAGGCAGAAATCAGGTATTGGCAGTTTTTCCATTTTCATTTGTGTGTGAATTTTTAAATATAAATGCGGGGACATAAGGCATTAATGCAAGTTAAAATGTTTCAGTGAACAAGTTTCAGCAGTTCAGCTTTATAACAATATAAATAAACCTGTTAAATTTTTCTGGACAATGCCAGCATTTGTATTTTTTTAAAATAAGTAAATTTCTTATTGATGGCAACTAAATGGTGTTTGTAGCATTTTTATCATACAGTAGATTCCATCCAATCACTATACTTTTAACTGAGTTGTCCTACATGCAAGTACATGTTTTTAATGTTGTCTGTTTTTTTGTGCTGTTCCTGTAAGTTTGCTATTAAAATACATTAAACTATATATATATATACATATATATAGAGAGAGAGAGAGAGAGACAGAGAGAGAGACAGACTTGTATATAGTTGTTCAGATCAGGTTTATTTGTAATAGCCAGAAACTGGAAACACCAAAATGGGCCATCAACAGTGAACAGAAATACAAACTGTGAACATCCATATACCTAAGCAAAAAAAAAAAAAAAAAAAAATGAACAAACTATTGATATACTCAATATGGATGAATCGCAAAACAACTGTGAGTGAAAGGAGCCAGACAAAAAAGAAAAGAGTACATTCTATACAAATCCACTATGTAAAACCCTAGAATAGGCAACAGAAAGCAGTAACAGAAAGCAGATCAGATGTTGCCTGGGGATAGAGAAAAAGGGGCATAAGGGTAAGATTACAGAGGGGCACAAAGAAACTCTGCAGGTAACATTTTCTTTCTTTTTTTTTTTTTATCCTCACCCGAGGACATTTTTTCATTTTTTGTTCAGGTAGAGTGAGAGGGAGAGAGAGGAACAGAGAGAGAGAGAGAAACATTGATGTGAAAGGAACACATCGAGTGGTTGCCACCCGCACAACCGACCAAGGCCGGGGACAAACTGCAACCGAGGTACGCGCCCTTAGCGGGAACCGAACCCGGGTCTCTCAGGACCGCAGGCAGACGCTCTAACCGCTGAGCCAAACCGGCCAGGGCTGCAGGTAACATTTTCATTATTCTTATTGTAGTGTTGCTTTATGGGTGCATATATGTGTCATAAATGATTAAACTGTACACTTGAAACGTGCCATTTACTGCATGTCAATTAGGCCTCAATAAAACTGGGGGGAAAAAAACTGCCTAAATTTTATAATATTCATTTTAAATTGCCCCTTTCTCATCAGCACCTGAAAATCATTGTAGCAAA